GCTGGTTCATCTATTGATAGAAGGTCTACATCTGGATATTGTACATTTGTTTGGGGAAATTTAGTGACATGGAGAAGTAAGAAGAAAAATGTGGTGGCTCGAAGTAGTGTTGAGGTTGAGTATCGATCCATGACACACGAAATTAGTGAAATGTTGTGGCTCATGAGATTTTTGGAAGAACTATGAAGACCTGCGAGTTTTCCAATGGAGTTGTATTGTGACAATAAGGCTTCCATAAGCATTGCTCATAATCCAGTTCAACATGATAGAACAAAGCATGTTGAAGTGGACAGACACTTCATTAAAGAGAAGATTGAAAATGGAAGTGTGTGCATTCCTTTTGTTCCAACAACTGAACAAGTTGCAAATATTTTCACAAAAGCTCTTTTCAGAATTACTTTTGAGTCCTTTGTGACCAAGTTAGTCATGTTCGATATCTACATGCCAACTTGAGGGGAGTGTCGAATGAGTTGGCAGATTTAGTCACAATTTGCCCCATCAATGAGCTGGCAGATTTGATTGTAATTTGCTACAAATAAGTTGACAGATTTGATTATAATTTGTTGCTGTAAATATGGATAGAATATATTATTATAGGAAAGTAGTTTATAGGAAATCTCTTGATTCAAGGATCTCCCAGGAATTAGGGATTGATTAGTTTATTTGATCGTACTTGTTCTCCTATAAATAATGTACAAACTCTATGAATAAAAATATACTTTTGCAGTATCTAAACTTTTAGTGTGGTGTTTCAAAATAGGTTGACATGAGGTTTACGTTGAAGAACGACATCTGGGGTAATTTTATATATGTTAGAGAGGGTAAAAGTCCCATATTGGTTGGAGAATGGACTGGTGGTCTCCTTGTATGGACTTGGGCAATCATTCCCTCTTGAACTAGCTTTTGGGGTTGAGTTAGGCTCGGTGTAATATATTTACGTGGTATCAGAGCAAAATCTATCCTCGTATGGGCTCCCGGTCCACGCGCCAGTTGGGCCTGGGCATGAAGGGGGGTGTTAGAGTGGGTAAAAGTCCCACGTTGGTTGGGAATGGACTGGTGGTCTCCTTATATGGACTTGGACAATCCTCTCCTCTCTAGTTAGCTTTTGGGGTTGAGTTAGGCTCAGGTGTCATATCTTTACAATATAATTGTAGCCGAAAAGGGGATATGCTCACAAAAGTTAATTTCCTTCTTTTTGTGAAAAGAATTTAGACAACCGAACACAAAAAAAAAATGGTTTCATCAAGAAAAAACTTATGCCATGCTAAACACCCTACACAAGAAGTGAAACGAAAAAGAAATTGACAACAGTAAGTTACAAATTCTAGGAAATGAAGTACAAGCGCAAAGATTTCTAGAGGTAATGGTCCACTATCCCATGGAAAGGAGACACTAATAAAGGTAGGAGTTCAAGTCATTCGAAGGAAGCACTAGTAGTAAACATGCAGCAAGCTAGCAACCCCAAACAGAATTATAAAAGCATCAGGAAGTGCTCTCACCAATTCAAGTTCAATTCCATCTATTTCCTTGTTAAGGTAGTCAGATGAGAGAACTTTTCTCCTTGCGCTTGGGGGTGAGGGCCTACCATATGCCAAGGGTCTGCTGTCATACAACATAAAAAGCAGCATTTAGAAGGAGCACTTTCAAAGATTTCCATGCAACTTAATTCTCAAAAAAAGATTTCCATGCAACTTTGTGAGGTTGTAGCGACAAATTAAGCATAAAAGAAGTGTTTCCTTAAATCAGCCTACTGCAACATGAAGAACTAAAACCATTAAGCATGTCAATTTGATTAGGTCCTATGTAAAATTAATCATTTAGGAAGTTGGTGTATCCAAACCTGAGAAGCAATCAGGTGTATAGTTCTCCAAAAAACTGATCTAGTATTCCAAAATCATATTATTATAAGTGGGAAACTCCCAAGTGAAAAGTTGAATTACCATTTTGCCCCTCTACTAAATTAAAATTTGATTAAATATAAATATTTTAATTACATAATGATAGAATTTGAAGTCCATAAGCAATTTAATAACTAAATTATCATTTTCTTGATAAATGAGTACATTGATATTGTTTTTTAATTAATTGTAATCATAAATCTCATAATGGAAGAATTTGAAAAGTTATGATATGGAAAGTCATTCATCACTTTGATGTAAAAATCAATTTCAAAATTTAAATTTAAATTTAAATTTAAATTTAAAGGGTCATTTCCTAATGCTATTTAAAAACCAACTAACAAAGATGGAAGCTCACAATAGGAAATCGAATTAAGGAAATAGCACAATTCAATAAGAGAGTTAGAAGTTGCAAGTGATCGAGGATAACCCAAAAAATGCTGAACATTGGCAATCAAGAAGAAAAAATAGCAACCGAAAAAAAGAGAGTAAATTTAATAAATGTGTAGTACTAAATTTATGTTGATATGTTGATATGTTGTCTCTAACAATAACAAAGTTTTCTTTCCAGAGCATGAGGACTTTCTTTGCAATATCCTCAACTTTTCATTCTTGCTTTCTTTCTCCATTATAGTATTTTTCTTCTATGAAGCATTTGGAATTGTATGGGTGTTGGTCTTGAAGTATAGATATCAATTTAAGGTATATGTAGAAATTTTCTTATTGTGCATTTAAATGAGAACTATTAATCATTTTTGCACATACTAATATATCATATGTTTGGACCTAATAACATAAAAATGTAACTCATTATTTTAGTTACCAAACTAAATTTTGCAGGTTCATCAAATGTTTAATTATTTGACATACAATAAAGAAGTTATTTGAATACATTGATTGTTTATCTATTTTAAATGATATTTTTTTTAATAGCTTGTGATACTGATTAAAATGTGATTTTGACAGTAATTCATACATTTCACAGGACTCACGTGCAAAGCATGTGTCCAAGACTAGTGTAAGATAAGCATGAAGCATGCGTGAATTGATCGAAAGGATATCCACAGCTTGGTTATATAATACATAATATTAAGAACACTAAACATCCCAGAGAGGGACTCAGACCACTTCCAGTGGCTAGAGTACTGAGCCAAGCTGTTTTGAGAAAATTGTGGTATCCAAACACCCTTGCTTATCAAGAACTGATGTCAGCTAAGTAAGTGAACGGTATCAAGGAATCTGGTGGTTATAGAGTGCCTGTATTACTTTTTTGCTTAACTGGAAATAGTTAAGAGCTTCTACTGGAATTTGGAATTCCTTCTTGCTAGAAGTAGCATTACTGTAAAATATATCCATGACATTAATGTCTCGTCCTCTGTTTATGAATCTCTATATCAGTGGCGAAGAGGACTTAGTTAAAAATCCACTTTATCATGTTAACAGCTAGATGATCTCCTCAAAACCTGGGAAAGTAATGCAAGTCGCCTAAATGTGTAGATGATGTTGTCAGTCAATAGAATTGATGCATGCAGCTGTCATAGTCAATTTAAATTTAAAACCTGTTCATAGTCTTGACTTCCAAGGGTACTTATCATAGAGATCTTGTCAAGATGGAATTTGCAAAATTATTATTCTTGATTAATAAAGTAAATATACCTGCCAGGTAGCTGCGGTGAATGGACTGGGGTAGACATTTCAACTTTACCTAAACCTAGTAAGGCAAAAAGGTATCTCATCAAATGTTCATTCTAAAAGCCACACAAATATAGACACTTCTTCCCTCCTTTTCCCTACAAATGATGCCATAAAGAGCATAAAGTAGAAAGGAAAATGAAGAAATAATCATCATATTGTCACATATATATATAGTAGAGGAGCAAGGATTTTTGAAAAGGGGGTTCAAAATATGAAGTACTCTAATAAGTCGAAAAAGTAACTCTTATTAATTGTTAATTATAAATAATCACAGTAGCAAATGTGATTAGTTTAAATAGTTGTGATCTTTCCTTCTCCCAAAACGGTTGCTCAATTATTAGTTGTCTTCCATCTTTGTGCTTTCATCTTCTCGTCATATAGCCCCATTGATATCTTTTCTCTAACTTATATAATATTCATGTATTGTTAGAACATCTCAATATTCATTTTAGTGATTTTAATTTGTGAAGTTTTCACAAAACTCTATAGTATATAGCTATATATTATTACCGGAGACAGTTTTAAATGATCATTTTTTCGTTCACTTTCTTTACTAATGGCAACATTTGAATTTGGTTAAAAGAGCATAAAGTTCTTCTCCCATGTTGTTTTAAGAATCTGTTTTTCTGCTTTTTGCTTAGCTTCTTATTTTTTTGCTTGTCATAATCATGTGGTTTAATAACTTTAATTGATGTTTAAGAGTTTAATCTCTCACATGAGGAAAAAACTGCTAAAACTTTGTTTCAACAACTTATGAGATAATTTTCTTATTTCAGGGAAAAAAATTGACGTAATGGTTTTGTAGATAATTGAATATGGTAGGAATTGTGTCAATACAAATGTGGTAGGCACATATCTATCTAACATGATTTTTTTTTTCTGTTGGCACAGTTGCTTGCAATTTTTTGCTAGATAATTTTCTATAAATTTGTTGTGTAATCGGTAATTTTCTATTATAATAATGATACAGTTTAAACATGCAACACACATTCTCAAAGACTAATGCTAAAAAAATAGTTATATGCTACCTCATCCATTTTAAATTGTTCGTCTTACTTTCCTTTTAGTCCATTTAAAAAAGAATGTCGCTTTTCTTTTTTTGGGCAACTTTTTAATTAATTCCAACTTTCCACATAGCATATTTAACCACAAGAACCAAATCTTCACTTTTTTAAACTCTATGTCAAGTCAAAACCAGACAAACAAATTGAAAAAGGAGTATTAGAAAAGATTTCTATAAAAAGCATTAAGTAGAAAAGAAAATGAAAGAAGGAATTTTTTTTCATAATTGTTGTTTTTGGATCATCCTGCGCGAGTTCTACGAAATACTTGTCACCTCCCACCACCAACAGATACCGAGTAATTCTGTCCACCAAAGCTAAGACAGATGAAAAGAAACCACCTAGTGTTTTTTTTGTCACTGCTAGGATTTGAACCCGAAACATCATGGTTCTCAATCCACTTCATTGACCACTAGGTCACACCCTAGGTATAAAATTGTTAGTCTTTCAAAAAACATAAATATAATTGCTTCATGGTCAACCATCGAATATACCTTCAATCAAAAATGCAACATGGCCTTCATGAGTTGAACTTTCCAACTCACAGTTCGGTCCATCATCACCAAGTATATCAATGATAGAGAATTCTGCAAAATTGAGATTTTAGTATTTAAGGTAATAATTATTGTAGCTCTGACAGTTCAAACCAGAGAATATTCTTGGGAAGTGCTTTTTCTAAACTAGGGTCATTAAATTTACAGTTGATAAACATTCGTCAGCTATGGACAAAAGGATATCTTGATGTAATACCATGAACTTGTACTTTCAACTACAATAATAAGTTGAAATTCAAAAGGAAGCTTTTAAGAAAGCGGAGCGGGGCCAATTTCTCGTACTTGCTCAGTGTCCCCCCCTTTCTTCGAGTGCCCCGCCCGGTTCACTGGGCTGTTGGCTTACCAAGCACTTGCCCGCTGCTCCCGCCGCCCGCTTGGCGGGCTCTCCAATCAGAATGTTTATCTTGTTGCTAAAGATACTTTAACAAGTTATTTCGATTTTCTTTTGACAGGTAAGTACTACACAAGCTTACAGGCAAACACTTCTATTAAGTATTCATGATATACTCACGTTTGCTTGTAGAGTTCGCCAATGGGTTTACTTTATCATTGGTGTTGTACAAACCTCTAGCTCTCATGACCTCCAGGTGCTCCGACTGATGTACTGAGAAACATCAACTATTAATTGAACTTTTTTCAGGAAAAAAATTTATTTCATCGACATCACAACCAAACATGTAGGATACTACGAATGCAGTTCACGGTGATTCTGGACCTCCTAATAATTACTAGCATCCAAATCAGGCATGTACTTAAAGTTTCTCCATCTACACTTGTGAGAATCATTTATTATAAAAAATATACTCAAGCAATCTTCCTTAAGGATTTTTTTGATATATGTATTTATGCAATTCAATAAGATAAATCTACGAGATGTTTTTTTTATGTTTATGCAATTCAATATGGATAATCCACTCAACATAAACACGCTTTACTGATTTGGGCAGGCTGCATAATCTTGGGATCTTGGTGACGTTCCTATTAGGACAATGAATCACATACTTAATGCGTTCAAATGAAAAGAAAGTACAATTACACTCTTCAGAAAACCAGTTTTTGCCAGAACGCAAGTGTACTACCTTCCTTATGTTGAAGAGAGCCAAGATAAATGGCTTCTTTTGTTTGAATCACTGGAGAAGGCTGTAGCAGTTGATTGTCCTCATAAATATGCCTTGCTAACATAGTAATCAAAAAGAAAATTAGGCCACAAAAGGGAGATCGGGAACCACTCAGCTATTGAAGGGAATAGGTTCACTCATCAAATAAAGAAAATCGACGAAGTGCAATTTTAACACGGTCACATTGTATAATGAAACTTTGTGTCAATTTCATATTGCAATCTATAATTGATAAACAATGTATATTAGGTTGTCATATCATTGAAGACTTGGGAATGACAGTAAAGAAATTTGTCAAAGAAGAATCCTGACAGTACCTGATAGGAAATCATTGCACTGGGACATAAGTGCTAATGAAGTTGCATAATGTTTGCAACTGTAGTTCAAAAGTTCTCTTGAGATCTAAAGAAAGTGAAAATGCACATCATTCATTTTGGTTATCACAAATTTCAAGGATTTTACTTCCTAAGGCTGAGCAGGTTGAGATACAAACTTATTTGACAAGTAAGATCTCTGACATAATATGTCTGTATTGTTCCAATTTTATCAGATGTCAACAAAAACATACCTAGAGAAATCCCAAAAGTGGGGTAGGGAAGGGCAGAGCTTACGCTGACCTTACCACTACCTCGTGGATGTAGAGAGGTTGTTTTCAAAACACCCTCGGCTCAAGTAAAGCAAATCCAAGTATAAGAAAGAAGAAAATTGTAACATCCGACAATTTGAAATAACTATGAAGAGGCTTAGAATTGGAAATAGTCATTTTTGGAAGGAATTAAAAATCTGGAAAATTTGGTTATGGGAAAAAGTGAGTTTTTGGCCAACTTTGAGCAGTTATAACTCCTATCTCAGGATGGGTTAGGTGTAGTTCCAGTTATGTTTGCACAGTTCGTGGAATGGTCTTTCCAACGCCACCGAGTTTGCTCGATTCTGAGTTTGTATGAGGGAGTTATGCCCTTTGGAAATTGGGCAGTTGACAGAGAAGTCTGTCCGGAAATTTGTAAGGGTATTTTGGTCTTTTCCCTAGCCTTTTCTTTTGGATATATATTAGTGTGTTAGACTGATTTTGATAAGTTTTTCTCATTTTAAAGAGTGAGAGTGAGGGTTTGTGAGTGAAGAGGAGAAGAAGAGGAAAAAGAGAAGATCAAGCAAGGTTTCGTCAAAGATCGTTGTGGATATCGTCGAGGGTGGTCCCTAATAGGTATGTGAGCTTATAGTGTTGGGTTGGTTCTTTCACCTACACGCCAAACTCGTTTAATTTCGAGAAAAGATCTAGTTGTGGTTGTTGAAATCTTGTAGTGATGTTTATTGAAGTTGTAGTTGTGTTGTGTTGTAGTTCTTGTTGGTTTGGTGGATGTTTCCGGTGGTGTTTTGAGTTCAATCTATTGTATATTGAGGGTTTTAATGATTCTAAGTGTTTGGGGCTGGAACCTTTGAGGTTTAGAAGGTTTAGAGTTGGAAAAAGGAAGGAGAAAAGTCGAGTTTTCGGGGAAAAGGCTAGGGCGTCGCGTCAGCCAGCGCCCCCCAAAAAGGGCTCTGAAGCCCAGCCCTTGGGGCGGCGCGCCAAGCAGAGCGCCAGCAAGACCAATCTGAGATTCGAGGGCTGGCGCTCCGCGCCTTGCAGAGCGCCAAGGACGCCAAGTTTCCCCATTCTTTTAGCACCTTCTCATGCATGTTCCTTGGTATTGACCTATGTTTTATAGTTGTTTTCAACACTCCAAGGTACGTCCAAACGTCAAGAACTCGTCCATAACATGTGATCAAACACCTTGAATCCATAATTCCAATTCAAGCAGAGTTAGTTTCCAAGTCAAGTGAAGTTAAGAGTTAAGTCTAGAAGTTAAAGAAGTGAGTCAAAGCAAGTCTTTAAAGTTATTCAAGAGTCTTTCTTAAATGTTTTAACTTCATTTTAAGGCTCAAGTTTCAAGTCAAGTAAAGAGTAAAGAGTTTCAAGTTGAGTAAAGAGTATAGAGTTGAGTTCATTTCTCAAAAGTTATTAGGGAACTATGTATTCCCAAAGAAGTTTCTAAATGTTTTTACATTTGAGTAAGAAAGGATCTATGATTCCAAAAGAGCCTTTGGGCTAGTTTTCAAGAAACAGGAACATCGTTTCCAAGTGAGCTTTTGGGATAAGTTTTGAGTAATTATCTCAACTAAAGAAAGATGTGTTTAAAACACTTATGAACTAAACTATATTTTTGGGAGTGGTCTTGAGCACCGAATTGGGGACACGAGTTCATATCAACTCAACTCTCCATAAGAACCATGTAGCCAACATGGAATTTAAAAGGTCATACTTTTTAGATGATCACGTAAGATTAAGCTAGTGGATCCACTTAGTAAAGTTAGCTTCCTATATCATGGCAAGGTATAGGATGGTCCTTGGACAACGTGAGGTAAAACGTTGTATCATCACTAGGGCTCATAGTGGTGGTTGTCGCTTAAAGAATCTCCCACAAAAGTTATATTACTTTTATATCAGTAAAGTTGAGTTTGTTATCATTTTATCCTTAACGAACTAAGTTGTTTACACTATTTTACAAGCTTTATATATTGGATGTGTCTTATTGCTTTATATTGAGTTCAGTTACTCACGAGTTGAACAGAGCCAAGGTAAGAGTTTCTTTGTACTCCTTCCAAGCTTAAGTTGTGGTTTAGCTTTCCAGGTCGCATACTCGTACATTTAATGTACTAATGCCAGTTGGCCTGCATCTTATTATGATGCAGACACAGGTACCCAGGGCCAGCATCTGGTTCGCCGTTGATCCAGTTGAGTACTTCAGAGTCAGTGGTGAGCCTCTTTGCATTTCGGAGGACTCGATTATTTTGTTCTCTTAGTTTTGTTTTATTACGATGTTGTGGGGTCTGTCCCAACATCCATCTCAGTATTTTAGAGGCTTTATAGACAGTCAGTCAGTTTGTTTGGAGTCTCTCATCTATGTATATATGTAAATATTCTATTTTAGGACTCGAGTTGCCTTTTTGGCCAGATTTTATCAGTTAGGTTGTTTTATAACCTTGCATTGCATTGAGTTTCTCCGCTAAGTTAAGAAAGTCAGGCCAAGGGTTCGTTTGGGGGCCATCAATGGTCTTCGAGTGCCGGCCACGTCCAGGGTGTAGGCTCGGGGCTTGACAAACTTGGTATCAGAGCACAGAGTTCAAGAGTCCTAGGGAGTCTATGAAGTCGTGTCTGTAGAGTCCTAGTTATCGTTGTGAAGCGCGCCACATCTATAATTAGGAGGCTGCAACATTTAGGAAGAATTCTCATTTCTTTCACACTCATCTCGTGTGTTATAGTTGATCTCTAAAAAGTTTCTTTCTAATTCATGATTGCGCGTGTTTCAGATAGTCATGCCTCCACGAAGAGTTGGCAGAGGGCGTCTTCCTAGACGTTATGTTGATGAGCAAGAGTTACCGTATGCCTCGGGAGTGCAACCACAAGGGGAAGTTTCTAATGCTGAGTTCAGAGAAGCAATTAGAATTCTGAGTCAAGCTGTAACTAATCAGATTGGTCAGCAAAGGGGAGATCGACATGAAGGAGTTGACACTTCAAGGATTCGTGAGTTCTTGGGGATGAACCCTCCGAATTTCATAGGTTCGAGCACTACTGAGGATCCAGAGAACTTCATTGAGGAGTTGAAGAAGATTTTTTATGTGATGCATGTGACAGATACTGAGCGGGTTGAACTAGTTGCCTATCAATTGAAGGATGTTGCTAGAACTTGGTTCGACCAGTGGAAAGGGGGCAGAGTTGAAAATGCACCACCTGCGAGTTGGGCCTGTTTTGAGGAAGCTTTCTTGGGGAGTTTCTTTCACCGAGAATTGAAAGAGGCCAAGGTACGTGAGTTCCTCACACTTAAGCAGGAGTCCTTGAGTGTTCATGAGTACAGTTTGAAGTTCACACATTTATCCCGC